GCTGTCCCTTTTCCTTTTAAAAAGAAATTAATTTAATTTAAAAATTTTTAAATCAAAGTAAAAAATATAAAATAAAATTACAAAAAATTTTATGCAACGAGAGAAACTGGGAAATTTAAATATTTTCAAGAAGCATTTTAAAAAAAATTAAAATATAATGCAAAGACAACATCAGGAAAATTAATTTAAAAAGAAAACAAGATTTCCCAAAAATGAAAAATGAGAATAAAAATGCATTTAAAAAATCAATTAAAAAAAAATAATTCCTGCAGAACAAGTTCAAAAAAAAATAAAAGGGGTAAAATAATCACTGCAATAATAGTCTCACTGGGAAAACTCAGGTTAAATAATAAAATAAAAAATTATGAGAAAAAAAAATGAATTTAAAAACTTTAACTCTTAATTTTTAAAATTTGACAAAAAAAATTTACTCAAAAAAGAGTAAAGAAAAAAACCCTTTTCGTTAAAAAATAATTGAAATTACATTTAAGAGTGAAAAAGTTCAAAAAAAATATTTTAAAAATTTTTGAAAAAAAAAAATAAAACAAGGGAAAAAACGGAAGTGTAACCTTACAAGTGGCAGGGGACACAACACTTTTAACACGTATTCTTTTTTTAGTATATTCCCTTTCAACAAAACTTGCTTTTGACTGTTTCACAAAAATTTGCTGGCAAAAATAATGGTACACAGTCTGCGAAAAAAAAAGAGGGAAAGAGACACTGGGGGGCATACGAAAAAAAAATAAAATTGAATTAAAAGGGTAAAAATTTTGGGATTTCTGGGGGGAAAATCACTTTCCCTTTAAATACCAAAGACAATTACTGGAAATACAATTGCCCCGAAAGAATACAATAAAAAAAATGAATCACTTCACACCCGAGTGACTGGGGACACAACCCCCCTAATACTTACTACGACAGAGAGTAGCATAAAAAAAAAAAAAAACAGATAAAAAAAAAAAAAATGAGATCGAATAACCCTTTAAAAATATTGGGAAAAAAAAAAAATGAGTCCAAAAAAAAACACGAGGGCTACACTGAAAACACAAGGGTTTGAGTACACAAGAAAATTTATATAAAAAGTCCCCACAAGCAAATGTCTTTTAAAAGAAAAAAATGTTTTCAAAAAAAAAAAATTTTTCACTGGGGGTCTTTTTAGTAGGGGGAACGGAAAATGGCGAGGGGAAGGGGGAAATCCGGGGGCGGTGATGACTGATGCCCCAACACTTCCAAAACTCACACTGTCCCTCGTAAAGAATGCCCCTTTCTCGGTGAAAATCTCTAACTGGCTTTACGGTTTTGGGGCCCCAGCTACAATCTCTTGACCAAAAATTTTTGAGCCAAAACAGGATTAGGACCCGGTACAAGGGGGCAAACAACCACAGGTAGATGAGGTGGGGGGTGGGGGGTGGTGGTGGATTTTTTGAGTAGAGTGGGGGGGTGGTGGTGTGAAATCCCCCCCCTGGCGCGCAATCTTACCCACTCATGAAGGTGGCTTTATAAGCCACTCTATGCCACAGGAAAGGGGAAAATTTACTCTTTTGCACCAAAAAGGGAGCCCAAACCGATAATGGGAAAAAATACTTCAGAGGGAATTGCTGGCTTCCCCTCTCCCCAGCTGGGTTTTTAACTGGTTTGGCTGGGGCTGGCTTTTCCCAAAGGGGAATGGCTGACTGGGGAAAACGGGGAACGATGCACACGCATGAAAAGGGGCAGGGGGATGACAGGAGAAGGGTGGGTGGGTGGCTGGGCGGGGTTCATTTTCCCCATCTGGCTTTTGACTGGCTTAATTGCAAAAAGTTTGGGCAACCCCTCGGGGGATAGCAATTAGCAACGAATAAGCCCGGAAGCTTTTAAAAAGGCTGCAAAAGGCCCCCAGGGGACAGGGTGGAGGTTGTTTAGGGGACGAGTATGGGAGATGGGTGAGACGGTTCCCTTTTTAACCCCCCCCGGCCCCCCCGGGTACTCACAAACAGTCTTCAACGGCTTTGGGAAAAAACCCTTAAAAAAAAACTTAAAAACCACGCTCCCCCACCGTTGCCCCCATTTATATGTGGGGGTTTGAAACCCCGTGGGTAGGGGAAAAAAAATACTCATGTAGGCTGGTTTGTACGTATATTTTCGGATTGGGTGGGAACCCCAAACCCGCCGTGCCTGCCTCCTTGCTCTCACCGTAAGACTAACTAACCCCGTACCCAAAATTGAGGGGGTGTTTTGAAATACTGCGTGGTCAGCAGCAATATGAAACAGACAGTGATTCACCAAGACGGGGGGTAGTGAGTCATCTTCTTGGGACACTGGGTTTCTGGTAAAAAGGGTTTCTAGGAATGGTACTACTACTGAGATAAGTGGTTTGCAAAAAAACTTAAAAGAAAACCTTGGCTTTATATCAAAAAGCATAAATTAAAAGGAAATCCCCAGGGTTTTTCTTCAACTCTATCAACCTTGGGTTTGGCCTTTATTTAGATTACGCGCACGTTTTTGGGGCACGTAATTTCAGAATAGGGTATAAATCCTGGGAAAAGGGAAAAAAGGAGGATGACAAAAATTGATCCCCTGTTTTCAGAAACCTTCCCCCCCGGGATAGGGCAAAAGGGCCCCTTTAAAACTTCACTCCTAGAAAGACCCTAGAATTAAAGGGGGGTATGATTGAGGTTTAAAATGGGGAAAACAGGGAATAAATAAAGGGGGTTAAATAGTGTGCTGGGAAAAAATCTAGCCCAGAAGGAATTTACAGCAATGGTTTTAAATTAGAAAAAAATTTAGATTCAGGAAGGATATAGGAAAGTACTGGTTTGGTAATAGAGTTGTGGATGAGTGGAACAAACTCCCAAGTACAGTTATAGAGGCCAGAACGTTGTGTAGCTTTAAAAATAGGTTGGATAAATACATGAGTGGGTGTGGGTGGGTGTGAGTTGGACCTGATTAGCTTGTGCTGCCAGGACGGTTGCCATGTTCCTCCCTTAAGTCAAGGTGACCTGACCTGACTAGGTTGGGTGCATTGGCTTAAGCCGGTAGGAGACTTGGACCTGCCACGCATGGGCCAGTAGGCCTACTGCAGTGTTCCTTCGTTCTTATGTTCTTATGAGTGTGGAAATTAGGAGAAGGTGTGGAGTTAATAAAAGTATTAGTCAGAGGGCTGAAGAAGGGTTGTTGAGGTTGTTTGGTAATTTGGAGAGAATGAATCAAAGTAGAATGACATGGAGAGCGTATAAATATGTAGGGGAAGGAAGGCGGGGTAGGGGTCGTCCTCGAAAAGGTTGGAGGGAGGTGGTAAAGGAGGTTTTGTTAGCGAGGGGCTTGGACTTACAGCAAGCGTGCGTGAGCGTGTTAGATAGGCGTGAATAGAGACGAATGGTATTTGGGACCTGACGAGCTGTTGGGGTGTGAAGGGATTCAGGGAAAACAGTTATTTTTATATAGCCAGACTTGAGTACTGGAAATGGGAAGTACAGTGCCTGCACTTTAAAGGAGGGGTTTGGGATATTGGCAGTTTGGAGGGGTATATTGTGTATCTTTATATGTGTATGCTTCTAAACTGCTGTGTTCTGGGCACCTCTGCAAAAACAGTGATTATGTATGAGTCAGGTGAAAGTCTTTTTGGGGATTTTCTTTCTTTTTGTGTCACCCTGCCTCAGTGGGAGACGGCCAACTTATTTAACCCTTTCAGGGTCCGTCCCGTAGATCTACGGCTTTACGTTCAGGGTCCAAACCGTAGATCTACGCCATGAGCTCAGCTCACTCTGATAAACTGTGAGTGGTACATTTGGGCCTAGATATGAAAGAATACATCTATGTGGTATGTGTGCACCACATAAAACAGATCCTGCAGCACACTTGTGTATAATGAGAGAAAAAAAATGAAATCATGATTTTTCGATTAAAACAGCAACTTTGCAGTGTTTTTTCGTATGTTTTTTATAGTTGTATTTGGGATTTCTTGGTCTCATTTGATAGAATGGAAGACATATTACAGAAATAGAGATGATTTTGATTGGTTTTCGCATTGGAAATGGCTTGAAACTGAGCTCAAAGTAGCGGAAATGTTAAATTTTTGCCGATATTCAAGAGTAAACAAACGACCTCACACGTCTAATACATGTCAGCTGGTGGGTCTAATATACATTCACAAATATGGTGATGATATTTATACAATTATTACAGTATTGCATAACAGTAAATCTTCTATTTTTGGTGTGAATAAAAATTCATTATGTGAATAAAAAATCAAAATGGAATTTATTTGTAAAGCCTCAAAACATAACTAATGAACAGAGGAAATGTTTGTTTAGTGCCAGGAATGCCTACATTGTTCATTCTGGACCCTATTTGGAAATTGGAATATTTTGAACTTTGTGTTAAATTGGCCAAATTAACAATTTTCCGATCACTTTATTTTGTAGTTGAAACAGTTGACTTGGCGATTTCTTGTGCTCAATCGATAGAATAGAAGTAATACTAGTGAAATAGCTAAGAATTTGGTTGATTGGAATAATGTAATTGGCCTAAAATAGGAGTCAAAGTCGGCAAAATCGCTGATTCGTAAATATCGCTGACACATCAAAATTCGCGAGAGCATAATTTCGTCAATTTTCCACCAAATTTCGTACTTTTTGTTTTATTACCTTCACAAAAAGATTCTCTACGATTTCATAAGAAAAAAATAACAAATTTTTTTTTTGAAATTCTTGGACACTGGTGCGTGACTCCAGATTTGGGCCTTGGACCCTGAAAGGGTTAAAAAAAAAAAAAATTATTTATATATATATATATATATATATATAATATATATATATATTATATGTATTATATATATATATATATATATATATTATATATATATATATATATATATATATATATATATAGGAGACGGCCAACTTGTTGAAAAAATTTATATATATATATTTATATATATAATACATATATATAAGAGAGAGAGCAACATTACAACAGATTATAATACTGAATTTTGAATAAAGCAATGATTTGTGTTTCAG